AGAGTGCGGTAAACAAACCGAAGGGCCGGCGAGGCTGCCGAAGAGTGTATCGTCGTCCGCCGCCCGCGCGCGTCTTCGTCGGAGACCACGTTCGGCCGACCGGTGGTTCCTACAAGTGAGTGACAGTGACGGTTATTGTGCAAACAAGTGATCCGCGAGGCCTGCACGCCGCCTCGCCCCGCTCCACGGCCGCCGCATCGCGCGGCTCATCACCGAGAGCGACCGAAGATCGGCGGAGAGACCTCGCGAGCCGGCGGCGACCACCGCCGTCCACTCCGGTGAGTTTTCCCATACGTTTATCGCGCGACGCTCGAGCGGCCCAGCACCCCGCATGCCCCCGCGACCCTCGTAGGTTTTCGGGCCGCCGCGCGGCCGAACGTTCGGCCGTCGGAGATCGGATATCTCCGGCGGCGCGGCAACGAGAGATTCTCCGCCCCGTGGAATCTCTTTGACGACGACGTCGATCGGCTGCCTCCGCTTACGTGCCCCGTGAACGACGTCCGGCCAGTTAGTCGGAACGCCGGGCGCACGATTCACTCCGGATAGAGGCAGATCCTTTCCGCGATCCGTTCCGTCGCCTTTCCTCTCTCGAGAAAGAGCGAGCGACGGCCACGGACAGATCGCTATCCGGGCGACGGCGATAGCCGAAGGGTCTCGCGCCAAAATCGTCGCGGATTGGACGGCCGGCGACGGTCGCTTATCCCGGCGGAATCGGTTCGAGGAACGGTTCAAAGAGCGCGGATTCTTTTCGCTTAGGCGACCTCCTCGACGTTCGCGCTTGTCTATCCGTGCATCGCGGAACGGTGGGATCACGACGATAAGCTGCCGGATAAGAGCGATCTTTTTCTTGGGCTCGGAGATCTGTTTTAACCGAAGTGATCCGTTTGTGGATTTTAGAGATCTTTTTTGGTCGAGCGCGGCGATCTCTGTTAATCTCGTTTGCTTGGGGATCCGAGCGATCTGCTTTGTTGATCTTTGGCGATCTACTACTTGCGGATCGTTGCGACCTGCTTGTTAATTTTCAAGATCTTCTTATGGATCCTAGCGATCTAGATGGTAGTTCTGACGATCGTTTGCATATCGATCCTAGAAATCTTCTTGTAGATCATGTTGATTTGTTTCTGGATCCTAGCGATCTATTAATCTCGGTGATCCGCTTGTGAATTCTAGCGATCTTTCTGTCGATCTTAGTGATCTATTAATCCTATTCGTTTATGGATCCTAGCGATCTACTTATTAATTCTGGCGATCATTTGCATATTGATCTCAGCGATCTGCTTGTGGATCCTTTTGATCCTTTTTGTCGACCACTGCGATCTACTTATGGATCCTAGTGATCTATTTTATCAATCTTGGTGATCGTCTTATGGATCCTAGTGATCTACTTACGGATCCTAGCGATCGTCTGCATATTGATCCCAGCGATCTGCTTATAGATCCCAGCGTTTGTTTGCATATTGATCCCAGCGATCTGTTTATGGATCCTAGTGATCTATTTTATTAACCATGGCGATCTGCTTATGGATCCTAGTGATCTATTTTATCAACCCTGACGATGTTCTTATGGATCCTAGCGATCTGACTATGGATCCTCCCGATCACCTGCGCATTGATCCCAGCGATCTACTTATTAACCCTAGAAATCGTCTGCGTCTTGATCCCAGCGATCTGCCTATAGATCCTAGCGATCGTCTGCATATTGATCTCAGCGATCTGCGTATGGATCCGAGCGATCCGATTACGAATTCCAGCGATCTGATCGCGGATCTTCGCGATTCGCTCGTAGAATTTCTGTCTGCTCGCTCGTACATCCTTCTTCTGATCTCGTTGCTCGCCGAAGATCGTAGATCGACGATGTCGATCGACGGTCCCAAACGGCCAGTCTGTCACGGAAACGGAGCAGCTGCGGTTTCGTTTCGTTTCGTTTCGCAGCGCGTTCATCAAAGGAAGGAATCGATCGGAGTGAGAGAGTTACTTTCGGCTCTCCGGTTCTACCGCGACATTTTCATCGGGTATTGCACGATCAATATTTACTACCATCGGTATCCGTCCGGAGCCGCTTGTCCGCCAACCATTTTCGTGTTTTCCGGCCCGTAATGGCGGATTAATGAACAGCGGGAAATTAATCCGCCGCGGATCGCGTTACACGGGAGAAAAATAGTGATAGGCATGCCAGGCGGTTTCTTTTTTCCCTTCGTATCCGTTGAATTATACGCAGCTTCTGTGGAAGTGCGTAGTGGTAAGAATCGAACGGATAAGAGTATTCGAATTGAGTGGATAGTAATCGAGAGAGAGAGAGAGAGAATTGCGTGTATAGTATTCGAATTTAGTGGATAGTATTTGGATTGATATATATATATATATATATATATATATATATATATATATATATATATATATATATATATATAATATAATAATAAATGATATATATATATAGTATTCGAATCGAGTGGATAATATTCGAATCAAGTGGCTGACATTCGAGAGAGAGAGAGAGAGAGAGAGAGAGAGAGAGAGAGAGAGAGAGAGAATTGTGGGACTAGTATACGAATTGAATGGATAATATTCGAATTGAGTGGATAGTATTCGAATTGAGTAGATAGTATTCGAATCGAGTGGATAGTATTCGAATCGAATGGCTGACATTCGAATTGAGGGACTAGTGTACGAATTGAATAGATAATATTCGAATCGAGAGGATAGTATTCGAATCGAGTGGATAGTATTCGAATTGAGGAAATAGTGTACGAATTAAATGGATAATATTCGAATTGAGTGGATAGTATTCGAATCGAGTGGCTGACATTCGAATTGAGGGACTAGTGTGCGAATTGAATGGATAATAATCAAATTGAGTGTATAGTACTCGAATCGAGTGGTTAACATTCGAATTGTGGGACTAGTGTACGAATTGAATGGATAGTATTCGAATCGAGTGACTAGTGTTCTAATTGAATTGATAGTATTCGAATCGAGTGGCTAACATTCGAATTGAATAGCTAGTATCAGAATTAAGGGACTAGTATTCGAATTGAGTGGATAATATTCGAATTGACTAAATCATATTCGAATTGAATCGTATAATTGTATTGTAATTGAGTGACTAGTACTCGAATTGAGTAGCTGGTGTTTGATTTGAGGGACTAGTAATCGAATTGAGTGGATAATATTATAATTGACTGAATCATATATTCGAATTGACTGGATAATATTCGAACCGAATAGCTAATATGCGAATTGAACAAATTGTATTGTAATTGAGTATCTAGTACTCGTATTGAATAGCTGGTATTTGAATTGAGGGAATAGTATTCGAATTGAGTGGATAATATTCGAATTGACTGAATAATATTCGTATTGAGTGGGTAATATTCGAACTGTGTAGCTAATATGCGAATTGAATAAATTGTATCGTATAATTGTGTTGTAATTGAGTTGACTAGTACTCGTATAGAGTAGCTGATATTTGAATTGAGGGACTAGTATTCGAATTGAGTGGATAATATTCGAACTGAGTGGCTAGTATTCGAATTGAGTAACTAGTATTTGAATTAAGTACCTAATATTTAAACTGGCTGGCTAATATTCGAATCGAGTAGACCTAGTATTCGAATTGAATACACTTAGTACTCGAACAGAGTGTCTACTATTCGAATCTAGTATCTAGTATTCGAATTATAGCAGCGATATTCGAATCGGGTACTTAGTATTCGAATCGAGTAGACATAGTATTCGAATTGAGTACACCTAGTATCCGATCAGAGTATCTACCATTCGAATCGAGTATCTAGTATTCGAATCTATCATCCAGTATTCGAATTCTAGTACCAATATTCGAATCGAGTACCCAGTTTTCGAACCATCGAATTGGTCTGACGTCGATTCAGTGCTCCAACTCCTCCTTAAAATTAATTTCGCGTCTCTGTCTCAATTTGCGGTATAAAGATCTAGAATGAAAGCAGGTCGAAGCTTAAGAAATCGAAGCATACACACTAATACACACACGCGCGCGCAGATTTCGAAACGAAACGAATGAAATGAACAAGTAACAGTTACGCAATATAGCGGCGAGGAGCGGAAGTTGCGGACCGGATCGTTTTAAAATTCCCCGAAAAAATTCCCTATTCACGAGCGTGCATGCTTAATCTGCGTACGCCGCTTTCAACTGCGTGCGCAATCACTATCGTCTGGAATCCCTTCGGAGAGCACACCCAATATTCCTCGGGCTTTTGCAATTCGGATTTTCACAATCAAAGCCCAGCGGCCGCGCGGCGCCGAGCCGCGTCGCATCGCGTCGAGTCGCCTCGCGTCGCGTCGCTTTCCGTTGGTTCTGAGAAAAACTGGGCCCGCGTATGTTTATCTTGATACCGTAGAAAATACTCCGGGAACTGCGGAGCGAACCGTCGAACAATCTCGCAGTTCCAGATTCGCGGGCGAAATTTCAGGACCCGGCCACCGGTTCCACGAGAACTTTCCCGGAAACGCGATCGTTTTGATCCGTCCTCCCCGATTCTCTCTCTTTAATTCTCTCTCTCCGATTCTCTAGCTCCCTCTAATTCTCCCTTTTTCTCTCTCTATCTAATCTTTTACAGCGTTTTAGTGCTTTCTCGACGATTCGACCTGTCAGGGTTTTTTATTTATTTCAATTTTTCTCGCGATTCAAGATGATTTTCTTGATCGCCCTTGCTCACATCTCTGCCTTTTCAGTTTTTCTACAAGATTAAAAAGGTGTCATGCGAGGAGAGTGTTGTTTAAACTTTTTATTTAAACATTTATCACTATTTTTCGTTATTTTAGCGATTATTTTCGTTCAAAGATGTTTTCCTTGGATTTCTATCATAGAATTCGATAGAAAATATTAAGCTGGTGATTTTGGCGTATGAATCATCGAAAAAGAGTGGTTTTTGAGCATTTTACAGCGTTTTAAGTGATCTCCATCGGATTTCGATGTTTTGACCCTTCTAGATCTTTTATATATTTCGATTTTTCTTGCGATTCGAGACGTTTCACTTGATCGACTTTGCATATATCTACGCGTTTTCACATTTCTTACCAGATTAAAAAGTTCCCACGCCAAATAAGTGTTGTTTATAATTTTTATCGCAACATTTATCACTTTCTTTCGCTATTTTAGCGATTATTTCCGTTGAAAGATACTTTCCTAGAATTTACATCAAAGAATTCGATAGAAAATATAAAGCCGGTGATTTTGGCGTTTGAATCGTCAAAAAAGAGTGAGTTTTGAGCGTTTTACAGCGTTTTAAGCGATTTCCAC